AAGCATAATATGCCAATTGACCCAACAGCCAAACAGCAGAATGACTGTCCAGACAACCTTCCAGACAACCTTCCGGACGAAGCCGGGGCTGCGAAGGCCTACTCTTGCACAAATTTCATGCATTGGGCCTCTAGTATTTTTATAACTTTACTAGAGGCCCGATGCACGAAATATGTGCAAGACTAGGGTCTTCCTTTCCCCAGCTGCTGGCACCGGCTTTCCTCCTGCACCCGGGACGTGGGCTTCCCTCCCAGACCTGGGCTTCCCTCGCAGCTCCGGCTTCATCCAGAAGGTCGTCCGGATGAACATCCGGTCTAATTAGCGTATTATGGTTTTATTATTATAGATATAGATAAACTTGTTTTGATTCTCACAATTAACATATGAGATAGGTACTATCATTTTCCTGTTTAATAGTGTGGGGAAACTGAGGGACCCTGGAAGTCAAGTCCCAAATCTAGTAAGTAGAAAAGCTGGGATTTGAACCCATGTAGTCTGGCTCCAGAATCCCTCCTCTTAACCACTCTACCAGTGTTCCAATAAATAAGCACAAATATGCTGGGAATAATATTCCCCACTAGATGTATTCTCATTCATTTGGCAACATGCAAAATTTGTGTGCCACACTGAAAGGAAACTAGGGTTGGGAAACGGAGCCCAAGATAAGGAGTTCCATGTTCAGTGGAACCTCAGTGCTCAGGGGATGCTTGGTGGTAGCTCTCCTTCTGAGCAGTGCCCAAGTTACATGTTGAGCCTCATGGAGACTGGCTGTTAATTCTTAGGGAACTCATGCTCTCTGGGACTTGAGGAACTGTGCCTTTGCATACCAGTGATATCACACACCACAGTTCACACTGCTTTGTCTTGATCTAGATGCAGACATCATTCCTTTCTATACAATATATAAGTCTGCCCCCTGGCTTTTCCAGTGTACACACACACACACACACACACACACACACACACACCACCCCTTTCTTACTGATTACAGCAAATGATGTGGAACTCTGAACTACCAGCTTTTCTGGAGGGTAAGGACTTTCCTCTTTTGACTCCATGGTGCTACAGACATCAAAAATGCTCAATTGAAGCCTGTTGAAAAGGTGAAAAATGGCTTTGTAGAAAGTGCCCAGATCTGTTTTCATGTATTTTTTATCAACCTGTGTGGGACCTATAGCCAGATACTAATTGGCTGAGAATTGGTAAAGTGTGTCACTGTGCACACCTGAGTGGGCACATTCTCTCTCTTGACCTCCCTCCTCTGTCTTCCTCCCTCCCATTTATATCCTCTTCTGCTCTTTCTCTCTTTCTCTCCTTCTCTCCTTCCTTCTTTGCACATCCTCCTCCTTTTTCTCCTTCTTTTCTCTTTAACCGCTCTGCCTCACCTGTAGAGGAACTGGAGGTCTAGTTTCTCACACACTGTGGTTCTCTATCTTTAAAAATAGAAGGAACCTCTCTCACAAGTGTAGAACAATTATTGAAATAATTATCTTGAAGGAACCATCCCATGCCCGGTGCACATACCCATAGCGAGGTGTAGGCATTGTAGAAGGTAGGTGGTATGCTGTGTCTACCCTGTCACATCCTTCCCAGGTGAGAGCTCAGATAATTTATTCTAAGCTTTCCATCTTCAGCTTCTCCACAGGAGTCCAGTGGAAGATGGTAGGACGGAGGCCTTGTCTGCAAAGTGTGTCTACTGGGAGGAGGACAAAGAAGGCATAGAGTTGGAGAAGGCCAATGCTGTTTTCAGGGACTGGGGCTCAGGGTTGTCCTGGTGCACATCCACCCTGCTCTTCCCGGCTAAGCAGAGGCCCAAGAGCTTTCCCCAGCCATGCTGCCTTGCAGAATGGTGTGCAGTAGAGCTCTGCTAAAGGAACTTATAGGAACTTACATCCTTATTCTGACATCAATGTGGTTGCACAGATAAAATTAGCATCTGTATTAGTAACGCCCGACCCCAAGAACCACGCAATTATCTCATGATTTTATTTAATGATTGTGCTCTTTTCAAAGCTCGTTGGGGTAATAATCTTCAGAGCATGTCCTGATTACATGTTGTACAGGCTCCATAACAAGTGAACTAAAAGGGCAATTCAAATCTAGCTCCAATTTAATTTCTAGCTTTTTCATTTCAAGACAACATTCTTCGTAGGTAATTTGTCCAGCATTTTGTTTTACATATGTCAGTGTTTACTCTTTTTTATAGTTTCCGTTCCCCCAGCACATCTCGTCTTTGATGGGAGCAGTGAAGATGAGAGAGCAGCTGTCCTGGATCTCCTTCACCTTGTTAATCAGGTCATCTCTCGAGCTCTATAGGAAATGTTTACTGTCTAATAAGACTGTGCAGGACTTGTGTGTAGAGCCTCAAGGTCCTTTCTAAATGGAAGGACAATTGCAGACACTTGTTAGCTGTGAGACCTTGGGCAGTCTACTTGACTTCTGAGCTCTGATATTCTTGCCTATGCAATGTTCCCACTTTATAGGCAAGGCCTGCTTCACAAAGTCTTGCTCAAGTGAGGTAATTCTGTGAGAAGTGTCTGGTCCATAGAGGCATTTGAAAGTCATTTTCTGGGTCTGTGTAGATGCCAGGTGTTCCCAGGTTGCTTCATAGTTGGGGATGCTGGGAACCTCCTAGGAAACCCTGGCCTCTTCGTGTTTTCTCTAGTTGAGAAGTGCAGGAGGGAGGGGAGAGCAAGTACTTCTGTGACAGCTAATTTACATCCTTCAGACCACTGTGATAGTAGACCAAGCTACGTATGGGAAAGGTGCAAGGCCGGGACATGCCACATTCATTGTGTAAAACACTAGTATTAGGGGACAACATGGGATATGTCCAGTGTCAGACTTTCTTGTCCAAAACAGCGTTAGCAGAGCACAGGAGAAGGACACCTTTGGCACTTATGATGTAACAGGCACAGGAGCCACAGAGGTGAGAGTGACAGTTGTTGGGAGGTGCAGGGGGTTTGTGAGAACTGGGGAAGGGAACTAAAGAGTAATCGTCCATAAAATGTGGTAAATATGTAAATGGAGGTAAGCAAAGGGTTCTGGAGGAGCACCCAAGGGTTGCCAGTTTTCCTTCCAGCAGATGGAGGTCCGGCTGCCCCACCTGAAACAAATATTTACTTTATATTTTAGGGAAACTAATTTTGGCTTTTAACCTCTCTGAGATACTGAAAAAAATGAGAACTTTGTAAAATTAGGAAAATATTTTTAAGTTTGTGGGTTCTAGTTCTGCCCATACCTACTTCATTAATTTTCTTTCTCTGCCTAGATTTTAAATTCTTTGAGCGAGACTTATATTTTTTAATTTATTTTCTATGAAATCCTCACTTGTAATGTCTGGTTTGTTTATTCATTCATTCGTCTTACTAGATTTATTGCACTGTGCGATAGAATCCACAAATTACCACCAACTAAATGTGCACTCTGGGCACTGAGTTCTATATACAGTAGGTATTCAGTTATTGCAGACTCGTCTAATAGTGTAAACAGTAGTCATTCGAGGCAGGTGCTGTGTAGAGGCTGGAAACTGTAGAGGATCAAGTGTGAGGGTGAGTCAGAGCTGGCAGTTGTGTCAAATATTTGGGTTCTGAACACCCATTTATGCCTCTTGCTGGGGCATCTACGTTTTCAACTTTCAGAGAAAACAAGGTCTTTGGAACCAGTGTGTTCTTTCAAACACTGCTGGATGCTGCCTGATTGTTTCCATTCTGGAACCAAGTTTTTTTTTTCTTTCTTTTCTTTTTTTTAAAGAAGTCTGGCTGCTTTGTTAAGATAAGAGACTGTTGTGTGAAAATTGCTGACTGAGAGCTCCCATTGAAGGCTCCTTCCCTTCCAGACCCCTGCACAGTTCACCCCCGCTGGCTCAAGTGGTGATGGGGGAGAGGGTTTGGGCCAGACTGCTGGAGCTTCTTTTCCCCCAGTCCTTCTCAGTCCTGGACTGTGGGGTGAGCAGGAGGTGGAGAGAGTTGGTGGGGCCAGGCCCTGGCCTTGCAGAGCCATGCTCACCTGGAGGCTCTTCAGCAGCTGGCAGTGATGTCACTGCCTCCTGGATTTGCTGCCCGTTTGCCTTCCTTTATGTCACCTTCTTTCCACTTTACACAATCCTTACATGAGGATTTGTTTATGTATTTAGTTTTTAATCACTTTATATGTTTTATCTATTAGATGACATTTTTGGTTCTGTTCTTAATGTAAAACACTTTTAAGTTTGTATGTTCTTTATTTGTGTGTGAACAGTACTAGAAAATATGCAGCTCTGTTTTGTTAAGTCTTCAGGAAAGATAATAGCATGAGTAGAATACTTTGTGCAAATTATGAATGTGCCTTCCTCTCCTAAGATCTGGAACAAGGCAGAGGTGTCCACCCTTGTCACCTCTATTCAAAATTGCACTGCAGGTTAAGACATTAAAGGCACCCTGATTGTAAAGGAAGAAGTAAAACTGTCTTTATTTGCAGGTGAATTGGGCCTGCATATAGAATATCTTAGGGAATACACACACACACACACACACACACACACACACACACACACACACATCACAAACCTATTACAACTAATAAGTTCAAACTTATGACATATGAGATCAATATAAAAAAATCAATTGTATATACTAGCAAAAGAAATCTGAAAATGAAATTACGGAAACAATTTCATTAAGAATAGCATCAAAATAAAATTCTCAGGAATAAACTTCAAAAATAAATGTAAGATTTGCACACTGGAAACTGTAAAACATTTTTGAGAACAAGTAAAAATCTAAATAAATGGAGCGGTATTTCATGTTTGTAGATTGGAAGACTCAATATTGTTAATTCTCCCCGAATTGATTTATAGAATCCCTATAAAAAATCCCAGCATGCTTTTCTGGGTAGAAATTGACAAGCTCTTCCTAACATTTATACAGAAATGCAGAGAACCCAGAATAAAGAAAACAATTTTGAAGAAGAAGAAAATAGAGAATTATACTTTTGGGCTTCAAAACTTACTACAAAGCTATAGTAATTAAGATGGTGTGTTACTGGTGTAAAGATAGATCAATGGTACTGAGTTGAGAGTCTAGAAATAAGCCATTACATTTATTGTCAATTGATTTTTCTGTAAAGGTGCCAAAGAAATTTAATAGAGAAAAGGTAGTCTTTTCACCAAATAGTGCTAGGACAATTGGATATCCACATGCCAAAAAATAAAATAAAATAAAAATCAATTCAAACCCGTACCTCACACTATACACAGAAATTACTAACTCAAAATGGATTGTAGACCTAAATGTAAAAATTGATACTAATCATCTAGAAAAAAAGTATAGTAGAAAATCTTCATGACCTTGGGTTAAGCAAAGAGTTCTTAGATATGAAACCAGAAGCACACCATGCCAAACTACTTTCCAGAAGGTTTAATAGCTATTCACTTGAGATCATCTCAATATACCCTTGCTAGCACTGATGATTGTCTTTTTACAATCTTGACTCACGCAGTGGGTGAGAAGTAAACACATTATTGAACTATATTGTCTTGTTCATAGTAAGGTTGAATTTTTAAATTTGATTAACCATTTGAAATATTACAACTTTTTGGGCTATTCTAGATCTGTGTCCTATCCTTTCCCAACCTACAAAACCTTTTGAGAGAAGATGTTTCCTTGAAGAACACAAGTCTGTAGGGCTTATTTGTTGAATTATACTTTTCTTGTCAACTGTGGGTCTAATGGGCATGACCATGGTAGATCCATTGTATCTTTTGTCCTGCAAAAAAAAAAAATAGTGTGAGTGACAAAATTTCAAGAAATGAGCAGCAGAATAGGAAGTGGACATAGGCCAGACTATTACAGGAATCAGGTGTGATAAAAAATTGTGTTGGTTCAAACTGCTTGGGTCCCAATTATGGTTTACTTCTTACCAGCTGTGCAGACCGTAGGCCCGTTATTTAACTTCATCAATTCCTTAACTTCATCTGCAAAATGGAGGTAGGAAAATTACTTCTCTCTTAAGGTTGTTTTGAACATAAAATGAAATACTGTATCTCATTTATTTCATCAAATTAAATAAGGTTTAGCACTGTATCTGGCATATATTAACTCATTATTAATTAAAATTGTTATAGATTGGATTCAGGTACCTGGACTTGGAGCTTGGACCATTGAGCTTCCTGAAGGGGGTTCTTCCAGGCATTCCATGTAGTAGTCTCTTCTTTTTCAAGTACAGATCAATTGAAAGGTGGGGAGCAAGGTCTTTTTGTTACTCCAGACATGATTTCCTTTGGGGCTGCTCTGCTCCCCATGGTTTGAATTCATAGAGGAACTAAAGGACAGGAGGGAATTTCTCTCAACTCTCTGACTCCGAGAATACCGCTGGGTGCTGGTGAGATGCCACTCATCAATTCTGTTGTTATTGTTTTTAGAGCTGTAAGCCTTCTGGATAGAATCCAGTGGATTATCTTGAGGCAGAAGAATTAAATGAGGTGAAGGAAAAGCATTTAGACTTTATTATTGCATTTATATAAAAGCGAACTTTGCCTGATCTTGCTTTAGCCCTAAATTTACATAGTTTGCCTCTATCTAGCCTGAGAGTGCTTTGCAGGCAGGAACTTTGCACCTTTTAATTCTCTGCATCTCCTAGGCACCTGCCTCACTGCTGAGCAAACATTAAGCATTCAGGAAATTCCGGGAATGTGCCTGGTATTTTCTGAGTTTCCAAATAGACAAAGTTAAGGAATCATACTTCTGTCAAATGACAGCCATACACATATTCTCATTTCGTACCCTCAACCATCTTTGGAGGGAGGATCAAAGAATGAGAGCACATATTATCCTTATTTTACAAGTAGAAAAATTAATAAGTAAATCACTTGCTAAAAATGATATCACTCTTAAGAGGGAGAGCAGAGACTTGCACTCAGTTCTGCTGACTCTAGCCCATAAAGTCATTCTGTTGCTTTCTACTGCTTACGTTGCAGATTGTCACATGCATCAGATATCGTCATTTCAGTGGGTTTTGTCCTAGTGATAGACCATGCATCCTACTTGCCTATTTTTAGGTTTGCAGGAGGAAGGAAAAAGTTTTGTCATCTTCAGTATATTGGAGAATGAAAAAAAAAATCCTAGGAGCAAAGGTATTGACTCCTGGCCCTCCCCACCCCAACTCTGAATAAACGGTTATGGTTTATGGATTCATATCGTATTTTGCCCTTTGTGCCAGGACAGCTCAAATGGATGCGTTTGTCACCACCCCTCCTCTTTTGGCAGGAGTTGTTGTCTCTCTAGCCAATGAGAAAATGACATTTCCTGGTAATGCAAAGTAGCAGTTGGCGAAAAGTTAGAAGAGAAATTGTGTGTGTGTGTGTGTGTGTGTGTGTGTGTGTGTGTGTGTGTGTGTGTGGTGTGTTCATGAATAAGAAATGGCCACAGTGGAGCCAGTTGTTGGTTTATTTGGCTGAAGAATGTATTTGCTTGCATTATGATTGTCACTAAAGATCTTTAAAAACCCCAGCTTGACTCTGGAGGGCCACGGGGGCTGCCTGCACTGCTCCAGGATGGAGATCTCTTCCTGGTGGACACTTGATTTACAAGTGCACTAATTATTCATTCTTCCTCCTTGCAGCCTGCTGAAACAATCGCCGGGCCGGGCTTGTTTGGTGCACAGTGTGGCGTCGGACAGCAGGCCTTTTTATGTAACTGATGGTGCTGTATGTTCATATTGTTCTTTATGTACTTATTTTATAGCTTATGCAGCAGACATTTGAGTCAATTAGCTTCTTGTCTTGCAAACTGGGCACTGCTGTTCTAGAACCAAGTGAGAAGGGTGTGTTCCAGGGCACCCAGGCGACCTCTCTCCTTTCTTTTTGTGCTGTGTGGGTTGGTTTCAAGTTACAGCATTTTTATTGGCTCTTCTTGGCTGAACCTTGGTTTCAAAAGCTGGCGTTTGGGAGTTGAGTTTCTTAAAGTCATAGCTTTTCTTTTTACAAAATCGAAGTCAAGCAATACACACGGTGGTGTGATTTCTTTTTAACTGATCTATGTCTTATAGTTCTTAGTAACCAAAGTACTAGTGAATAGTTTTTCTACTCAGAGTTCCTTCACTGATTACCAACACAGGCTTTCCTATATAGAATCCTTGTTTCTTCTTGCTTTGCTTTTGTCTGTATAATCTTATTCCTGCTTTATTTTTACACTTTGTCCTCATTGTTGCCTTGACCCTGTTTTGCTTTATTTTTTGGAAACTGCCTCAAATCTTTTTGGAAACAAGTTAGAGTATAAGTAAACTAGTTAAATTCTATTTTGAATATACCACAGACTATTTCTGTAGATGATAACATTTATGGAGCATAGATTAACTGTTCTAAGCTTGTGAGGGTTTTTAAATATTGGAAAAAAATTTACCAAAAAAAAAAAAAATGTCCTGCTTCCTCTTTTGTCTCCTTGACTGTGGTTTTAGCTCCCCAGCCTGATTAATGTTTCCAGAGATTGTGGACGTGGAGGCCCCCATGTCAGAAGAGATTCCCTAGAACAGTGGTTCCCAACCTTTTTTTGGCCATGCCCCACCTAAGCATCTCTAAAATCCTGATCTCCCCCCTTTCCCGTGACATATAATTCTTATTATTCAAAAAGTGAACTCTTATTCACGTGGAGCAAGCCTGAAAGGCCATTAACTTCTTCTAAACAAGCTTCCAAAGAACATGGCATCCATGAAAGAGAAAACTAAAAGAACGAAAGGACAGTTGAAGTACGAGGAAGAAATCAGTAAGAAATTGTTAAAATTGCCCTAACCGGTTTGGCTCAGTGGATAGAGTGTCAACCTGCGGACCAAAGGGTCCCAGGTTCGATTCCGGTGAAGGGCATGTACCTTGGTTGCGGGCACATCCCCAGTAGAGGGTGTGCAGGGGGCAGCTGATGGATGTTTCTCTGTCATAGATGTTTCTAACTCTCTATCCCTCTCCCCTCCTCTCTGTAAAAAAACAATAACATATTATTAAAAAAAGAAATTTTTAAAATAATAATATGAAGTGATATGAAAAATAGCAAATAAAGTTTCAAAACATAGGGAACTAAAATGCATAAATATGTCACAATATATATTTATATACTGTATACGAGGCCCCTAGAACCATAAGAAATGCAAAAAATTCACTGTTGATAACTCATTCTCAAATTGCCCCCCTGTGGGCTGTGTGCCCACGTTGGGTACCACTGCCCTAGACCAAAGTGCAGCAGGCAGGATTTTTATCCAGTGCATTTAGACCAATAGATTGTATGATTCTGCATGACAGTGACTCATGTTTACCCTAAATTCTCAGAGCCTGCTGTGGTACTTGGCCCCAGATAGTTAGTCAGAAAATTTTGAGAATGAATGAGCAAATGAGCCTACCCACGCAACCGCTCTCCCCCTCTGTATCAGCATCCCTTTAGCCTCACTGATCCAGAGATCTTCACCCAGCCCATTTGGTTGTGCCATATAGCTGGGTGTGCCTTGAGGAGCAGCTGAATTCTCTAAAGTAGTTGGTGCCAACTATTGGTTAAAGCACAAAGCATTGCTTACCCTAATATTTGTCTTTAGAGGGAAAATCTGAACCAAACAAAAGGATCTTAAGTTTGTTTCTTACTCTTGCTGACCTTGAACATTAATTATAGTGCTTATACTGATCCGCTAGCCAAATAGTTCTCATCCTTCATCCATTTATTGAGCATATTCTACATTCAAAGCTCCACTGTTAGCACAAGAGATGGAAAGGCATGAAGATGTGGAATGCTTCTGTGGACCCCTTACTACCCCAGCTGTAGAGAATAGGGATAAACTTGGCTGTTTGCAGTACAATCATCATGAAAGCTACAAGAGTTAGAGTATATTGAGCATGTGCTATATCCTGAAGATAATGCCTGGTGCCTTAATTGGAACCGGCTATGTAATTCATGAGACAGGACATGTGTTAGCATCATAAGACTGTTGAGGCTATCTTTCTTTCTCTACTAGAGGGCCCGATGCATGAAAAAGGTGCAAGAGTAGGCCTTCCTTCCCCTGGCTGCTGGCACCGGCTTCCCTCCGGCACCCGGAACCTGGGCTTCCCTCCAGCCACTGGCAGGCACCTGGGACCGGGGCTTCCCTCACAGCCCTGGCTGCATCTGGAAGGTGGTCTGGTCTAATTAGCATATTACACTTTTATTATTATAGGTAACCCTCACCACAAGACACGTAAGGCTTTTTAACTGAAGGGTTGGGCAGCAGAGTTAGTAGCTGTCCGTGAAACAGGACAAGGACGTTTCTGATTGGGAAGACCAGAGAAGTTTGCTGAGCTGGGCCTTGGAGGTGGAGAGATTGAGGGAGGACAGGTTCAAGGACATGGAGTCCAAGGGGGCATCAAAGAAAGGACCTTGTGGAGAGGCCCCTGTGTCATTAGGAAATAGAGGAACTTAGCCTTGCTGAAATTGGAGGAGAACATTGAGAGAGAGGTAGGTTGACAATGACCAAATAAAGAAAAAGAACATGTTGGAGACTGAGCTGTACCTCACCTCACTGTGCAGGTGAGGCCAGAGGACAGCCTGCAGAGATCCATAAGGGCTGCCAGTGGGGGTATCCTGATGGACAAAGTGGAATGAACAAGGGCCCAGAGGTGGGAAGACCCTGCTGTGTCTTATGGGAGTCAGCTTACTCTTACACATCTCTGCAAATCCCAAGATGTTCAGTTCCTCCAGTGACTTCTTGAGCATTTCTTTAATAAAAAGAAATACCTACTGTGAATTCTAAGACATTACTTTTTTTTCTGTTTTAATTTATAAGTCTCTTGGTGAAATCAGAACTGCTCATCTTTGTTATTTCTCTACTTATGTTGTATTTATTATATTGTGTCTACTTATATTGTCTTGGCAGGAAGTGGGCAGCCTCCCCTTGGCTGGTATACTTTATTCATTGGGCTTCCTGGGCCATTTGCTATTGCCCTCTAGGGTTGATGCCACAACCCTGAGTCCTGGCCCCTAAGGAAAACTCAACCCAAACTTGGCCACCCATATGAGCAGCCTAAGAATTGGCCTTTTCTCATCCTAGGCTGCTGAAGGGAAAGCTTTACCCAGTGGCTTCTGGGCATGTAGATCTTTATATTCAGAAGTTGGCAGGGAGTAGTGCTCAAGTGTCAGGACCTCATCTCATCTGGGAGAGCTGCCTCCCTGTCCAACACAGCCCAGCCCCATTTGTTCCAGGGTGTCTGCTGCTTGTGTATGTTTAATAAATAGGACCTAGAATGTGTTCATTGTTTTTTTAAAAATTAGCATGCATCTAATACACATAAATATATGTACACATAATATCTTTACACAATTATATGAATTATATGTATATTATATACTAATCTATATATATAAAAGGCTAAGCAATTGGCTGACCGGCTGACCAGCCAGTAGGTGTGATGTGCACTGACCACCAGGGGGCAGACGCTCAATGCAGGAGTGGACGAGCGACAGCAACTTTGCAGAGCACCCTCTCGTACTCCGGGACCCCTAGGGGGATGTCGGACTGCTGGTTTTGGCCAGATCCCTGCAGGCCAGGCCAAGGGACCCCACCTGCTGGAGGGACCCTGCTCACTCTGCAGATGCCCTTTGAGCCCTGGTGCTGGTCCAGGTAATGTCTGGCCCATCTCACCCAGTTCCGCCTCACCAGCCACCTTCTAATTAATTTCCTTTCAATGTACACGAATCCGTGCACTGGGCCTCTAGTTATAATTATAATTAACATTTTATGCATGCATGCCCTAACTTTAGTTACTATTTGTGGCCAGTGTAAAAGCAGAAAACAAGCCAGAAGTGTCAGG